ATCTTCCCGACACGCGGGCGCCTCGAGCCGCGGTCAAAGTGAAGGAGGACGAGGAGCCCGCAAGTGGGGCCAAGGCCGAGAGCACACAGGAAGGAGTCCTCGTGCTCGGCCAGTCTGTGGTCACCAGCGCGAAGGAATGCCTCGCGCGGTCCGAAGCTCTTCTTAGAGCGCAGAAGCTCCAGTCGAGAATACTGGAGGTTGCGGGAACTGCGATGGTGAAGCTGGAGAAGATCACCAAGCGTGAGGAGTCCCTCAAAACGCTGCGCCGAGAGGGAGAGAGTCGGGCGGCCGGGGAAGGCGCCGACGGGGAAGAGGTGTCTGACGATGGTCAGGACGCCCCCGGGCTGCGGGGTCGAGCAGTTCCGCCAGGCCTTCGGGAGGCGGGACCGCCCAGTCCGCCCCAGCCTCAGAGGAGCCTCGCCCCAACGCTGACGGCCACTACGGATGTTCGGCTCCGGGATGCGGGCTAGCCTTTGAGTCGCTGGTGCAGTACCACTTGCATCAGGCGGCCTGCCATGGCGCCTCTCTTCCGCCCAACCTGGGGATCAGCCCCTCCGCACCTCTTGACCCTTTTCGTCAGGACTGGCGGGGACGGCTGTTCCGCCGAGGAAAGGACGGTGGGTATGGGGAGGTGCCCATGCTCCGAGTGATTAGGTACCACAAAGCCAACGGGTACGATCACTCGAGAGTCCCGCTCCTGAGGCGAGGGGACCGAATCCAGCTTGAGGATGGATCGCACCACATCTATGGTGGTAGCCATCCGCCGGGGTGGCTTCGCGACGACCCCGAGCTGGACCCCCCTGGTGCTTCAGAGGGAAGCGATGGAGGGTCCACGCCCAAGAGCGAGCCCACGGAGGAGGCCGAGCCCGAGCCTCCGCGGAAGGCCGCTCCGCGCGGGCGGGCCCTCGAGCCGCCGAAACGTCCAGCGACGCCTGGCTGAGCGTCGCTCCAAGCGAGATTACTCGCCGGACCTGGTGACGCCTCTTGACGATCTCCATGCCAAGGAGATCGACTCCTTCTTCGCGGGCGACCCAGCCGCGGATAGCCTTGACGTCATTTTGATGCGCGCCGAGGTTCGCACTGAGTCCCACCTCAACGTCGGCCGGGAGCGAGAAGAGCCCCTGGCCAAGGAGGAACAGGAGGAGGAGGCTGAGGTCGTCAAGGACGAAGAGGTCTCGGTTGAGATGGAGGCAGCCACCGCGGATGAGGCGGACGAGGTCGCCCTCCCAGCCAACCGAGCCTACGTCGAAGGCCGCTTTTACCCCTACGGCAGCTGGCGGTGCTTCTTCTGCGAAGCCATCAACCCGGTTACCGAGGACCAGTGCCTCACCACGCACGCGGGCGGCCCGAATGCGGGCGCCCCGTGCGACGGCCGATGGATCAATGGGATCGACATCGGGTGGTGGGAGGTGGATCCCCAAACCGCGCCGGAGCAATGGCGGCGGAGGTTTTCTGCCGAAGAGCTTGAAGACCAACAAGCGCGGGCAGATGCCGCGAGGCTCCTCAGCGATGAGGAACTCGCTGAAGCCCTCCAGGCGGCCGAGGAGGCGCAGGCGGCCGAGCGCGCCAAGAAGCGGGAGCGGCGCCAGGCGGAGAAGGCGGAGCGCGATGATCACATCAGCGAAGCGCTCCGCATAGCAGGGTGGCAGTGCCCTAACTGCTATGAATGGAACCTTTCATTCAGGCAGCTGTGCTTTAGGTGCAGCACGCCCCTCCGCTTGGCAGAGGTCGTTTCCCGCGGGATCCCGGATCCGCGGCGCGGCGAAGAGAGGGACTCGGGCTCCGAGAGCAGCCAGGACGAGCTGGAGTACGAGATCCTTCTGGCCAATCGCGCGATGGATCAGGAAACGATCCAGCCTCTTCTTAGAAGCAAACACAAGAAGAGGGGCGGCAAGAGACGTCGCGAGGAGGCGACGTACGGGAAGGGCCGCGACCCGTGGGGTGCTTGGGCAGACGCCCGTGGCAAGGGCCAGGGCAAGCCGAAGGGCAGAGGCAAGTCCGATGCCAAGGGCAAGCCCAAGGGGAGGGGCAAGTACGCCTGGGGCGCTTACGCCGCGGGCATAATTGCCGCGTTCCAGCCCCGCCCAAGCACAAGCTGGGTCCCAGCCTTCCCGTGCGGGTCGGCCCGGCCGCCGCCGAGTGTTCCGCTTCCGCCGCGGACCCCGTTTTTCCTGGGTCGCGGGCTCCTCAATCGGTTGATGCACGCCCTCAACGGGAACATCAACGGCTGGTGGGGCCTGGCGGCTGCAGCGTCGGCGCCGATTGCCTTGCAGTTGCACCGCGGGGCTGTGCATGTTGTCGAGGACTCTATGCACGCGGTTGCAGCGATTTCGGCCGACGTGGTCGAGGAAATCGGTCACGGGGCGAGGCGGGCCGTGTGGGTCGCCGGAACAGCCATCACTCTCGTGGTAGTGATCTTGTGCGGTGCTGTTCTGTGGTACGTGAGTCGTGCCGTTGCCAATCGCATTGCGCATTTGCGACATGGCAACACCGCGGCCCCGGAGGCGCGGCTGTCTCAACTCCTTGGCTCTGAGGCGACGTTTGAGGTCGCGAGCACCAAGAAAGGGGTGACCCATAAGGTTTGGGTGCATCTCAAGGAGGAGACAGCTGCCTGTGGCTGTCGTGCTTACCTGGCAGAAGGACGCTGCGGGCATTGCGATGCCGCAATGGACACCGCCCGTTCCTTAGGGTTTTTGCACGCGGCCCAGCGAGGCGCGGGTCCTGCGCTCACAGACTCCATTCGGAGTACCGCCTCCGATGCCCTAGCTAAGGGTAAGGTGGTGTTGGGTTTGGGGAACAGTGAAGGGTGTTTCTCCCAACTCGCGGCCAAGAGCCGCGGGCTCTCCTGCTTTCAGGGGCTCGCGGGTCGTGACCTGGCCGCGGCCCCAGCAGATGGAGCGAGCGCAGCCCACGCACAGTCCGGCTCCGTGCAACGTGCCGCCACTGCCACTGTGGCGCGCACGCCAGCCGGAGGAACAAGGGCCCAGCCCCCGCTAGGAGTTCTCCAGTCAAAGAAGCGGAATTCCTTGCGGGCGGGCCATACATTCAGGCCGCCCAAACGCTGCTTGGGTCTGGAGCAGCAGAGGATGTGATCTACATCCGGGCTTACAGCTTAGATTGCCCATCCTGCATCGAGGCAATCGAAGCGTCGCTTGGCAAGGGCGCAAGCGTTCGGATTGTCGCCGACATGGGACAATGCCACCGCACCAAGCTTCAGTGGCAAGCGTTGAAACGCTTGGCGGCCGCAGGTGCCGAGGTGAAGGTGGGTTGCGGCACATCCTTGCGCGACGCCTATGCTCGCGACGGCCGCGGGGCTAAGGTAGGCACCGGGATTCAAGGGCTGCACCATGCCAAGGCCCTTTGCCTACTGCGGCCTGACGGCGCGGTGGTGTTGATTGGGAGCCTCAATTTTACCACAAGCAGCAAAGCCAATGCGGAGGCAGGGCTTAAGCTTGAGGTCCCCAAAACGCACCCTGTCGCGCAGTCCTACGTCGAGGATTTCCAGAGAGTGTCGGCTGAGGCATTCTCCCTCGATGAGGCGGTAGCAAAGCGCCCTCAGTTGGAGCGAGCCAGTAGCTCCAACGTTGCTGGCAACGCCACTCGTGCCCCCAACACTGCTCCACAAGGTATCGAGTAGGCTGCGGCCAGTTGGCGCGGCGTGGTATGCATCCACGCATTATCAGAGCAGGCGTTGCAGCACGGCACGTTGCTTCGCCAACCTTTTGCACTTTCTTTTGCGTGACTGCGGGCGAAAAGCCGCGGCAGGTTGGAAGCCTGCCCATTTTGCATTCCCCGCACTTTTCTTCTCCGCCCTGCCTGTGGCCCCTCTTGTCGAGGGTGCTCTTTTGCAGGTGCTGCGGACCGTGTCCTGGTCGCGGCAGTGCGCTCGCCGAAGCGCGTGCGAGTTGCACTGGCTGCGGCACAAGCGATGTGCGCGGCTCTCGCTGAGTCCGGTAGCCCGTAGGGTAGTTCTGGATAGGTGAGTAGCCGTAGCCGTAGCTTAGGGCCGGTAGTTTGTACAGTGTACCATTTGTACCATAGATTTCAGTGTCTGCCGTAGCAGTCCCCGAGGCACTCAGTAGGCTCTGTGTACTGGAGCCTCGACTCTGGTCGTGCAAAAGACCGGACCGCCTGGTTTAGGCTGGTTTAGGAGGGTCGCTCGTTTGGGTCGTCTCGTTTCGCGTGTCTTCGTTTGCGGGCTTGCGCCCAAAGCCGCGACGGACGCCCACCCTCCTTGTGGAAGTCACTCACCGGAGCCTCGGCTGAGGGGCGAATGTGAGCTGACATGAGTGCATATGCATCTTCTGCTCTGTGATGCATTAGGACTCGGCAGACCACCTTGTAGTTTTCCTTTGCATGTAGAGTTTTGCAATTCGCATCAATGCCAATATTTTGGCTCAAGTACCGAGCTTGTGCCTTTGAGCACGGTAGTTTCGTACAGTAGCTCTTAGGTTGCTGTGCGGTCCGACCGGACGCACTCAGGCGTAGCTGCACAAGTGCTTGAACTCGCGAAGTCGTAAAACAGCGTGACCGGGCTGTGATTGCATTGGCTTAGTGCAAGTCCAGTGCTGGTCGACTTCACAACATGTGTGTTATATATGTATACATATATCAACATGTAACATTTATAACGTCTATAGCATGTGTCGCACGCATAACATGTATCTCATGTATCATGTATATCACGTATATAACATATAGATAAAAGTATATATATATATATATCACATCTATCACATACATAACAGATATCACATGTCCATAACATGTATAGCATACTTACGTATCATACAGAACATACACAATATACATGGGACCAGCAGACACCAGCAGACCAAGGAACAACCAAACCTATAAACGATGCAGACAAGCTAAATCCAAAACAAATGGCACTCCTTTGGGAAACCAAGCCCCACACCCTCCAAACCCCGAACAGCCTTCCAAGCCCAAACGCAAGAAGCCTAAAGGCAAGGCCGAGCTAAGCCGCAAAGCGTTGGATGTTAAATGTCCTCCAAGTCATCCCGCCAGAAGGCCAGAAGTTCCTTCTGCTTGTGCTCCTGGAGCCTGGGCTTCAGTTTTGTTCAGTTTTGACATTTCTGACTCTTGTGTCGGGGGGGGGGGGGGGGGGTGGGGTGATTCAGCTTTCAAGGTGCTTGGGCGTCATGGGCAGTCCAGTCACCAGTCTTCTCAATGCACGGCGAAGCTCATCGATGAAGAACGGATTCCGTTCGTCAAGCTGTGAAGGGCTGCGTGCTTTGCGAAGAAGGAACTAGGGGTTGAAACTTTCTTGAAAGGACACGAAGATTTCAGAGGGCTATCTTGCTGCCGTTCTGAAACAAGCTTCTGGCTTGGGCTCGGGGACGTATCCAATATGACCCGAGCGGGCCGGCATTGGCCCCCTGTTTGGAGGCTGCCTTACAGGGAGCAAAGCTTGCTGCAAGTCGGGAGGCTGGCGGAAGGCCACGTAGGCGGCCAAGCGGGTGCTGTCTCCCAGCCTCAGGTGCCACTTTGAGACTTTGAGGTGCTGGCTCTGGGCCCTTCCAGGCACCGCAGCACCTAGCAGCCCTAAGCCCCAAAGTCCTGACTATCAGAATTATATTCGAGCACCGCGCGCTTCGGCGATCTCCACCAGCCGTGGGTCTGCGTCCGTGGCACGGAGGTAGCCTTCTGACAAAAACTTGAGGGCCCAAAGGCAGCGGAATGCTTGGGACCTCCTTCTCTCATCAAAGTTTGACAAGGCTTGGGAACAAGATATACGGAACACCACCTTAAAGGATTGCCTCACTTTCAGGTGATACCCTGCACGGATGAAAAGCAAGTTACGCTCAGGATTGGACGGTCTGTGTCTGGATCCACCTTGTGCAGCTGAAAGGTTTCTGTGAGAGCTGAGCAACACTGGGGCGCTACGACTGACTAGAACAATTAACGGCTTGGCTGCTCGCCCTTGGGGACGGGAGTTCGCTGCTGATCCTATCCACGAATACATAGGGGTTCAAGCTAGGCTTTCACAGGCCATACAAGAAGAGAACTTCAAGCAGGCAAATGTCTTTTGATGCTGCCTCGGACGATCTCGGACGTTTAAGATATGATTTACAAAAACATGAACTCTAAACCTGAGCAGTCTGAGCATGACATGGCCCCGGCGAGGAGTAGCGGGCGCTCGGTGAGAATCTCCGTGCCCCAACGCATCCTTGAAACGGCCAGGGCCAAACTCACAATCATACCTTCACAAACTGGTTTCTGAAACCTAGGTCTATATATTATAACCCTAAACCCGACGCCCTGCTCTCGGAAGGTGCGCCCAACCCTGGCCTGGGGCCCCCCCCTGGAGGCCGGCCAGAGGTTCAAGCAGAACTCTTGGAGCTCCCATCCAGATGGAAGCACTCCACTTTGAAAAACGTCCAACAAAAGGCCAACCAATGCCCTGATTGAGCATTGGTTGGCGGGTTTTGTTGGCTCATTGGCAAATCTGTACTGCGATGTACCGTGCTGGCATCCCACTCCCTAATGGTCCCGTCCCACATATTGGGTTGTTCCAATACAATTCGTGCTCACATAAAGGCGTTATATTGTTTGTATTGTTATATTATATTTTCTGAACAAAGCGCCGATAGCGTGTCCACCATTGACTATCGGCCAGATAGCATATTTTACGGGCGGTACTACATAATGTAAGAAACCCAATAGATATCTAAGTGAAAATATGTATGAATTCGTATGTGGCCTTAGTTCCTACCAATGCTACAACCATCACTATCGTGGTGTCAACTGTGAGCTGAGCCGAGCCACTACTCACCTCCTTCCTGGTAACTAAAACTACATCAGTCCATGATGCTAAACATTTCACACATATAAGGCATTTTTCAACCCAACGGGAAGGTTACCCACTAGTCTATTCACCCAACACCATCCAAGAAAGCCGTCGCCAGGTTCCAGGCTTCCTCAGCGCGACGAAGGATGGTCCTGTGGCGCCCTGGCACTGGGGACTCATTTGGAGGGTTCAGGGTTCAGGGTTCAGGGTTTAGGGTTTAGGGTTCAGGGTTCAGGGTTCAGGGTTCAGGGTTCAGGGTTCAGGGTTTAGGGTTTAGGGTTTAGGGATTGGGGTTTAGGGGTTTAAGGGTTAGGGTATTGGGTCAGGACGGGCTTGAAAATTCTGGGTGTTAGCTCGGCTTTGGGTTCTGGACTTTGGGGCCCGAGGGGTGATGATCATGGTTAGGGTGTTTAGGGTTTAGGGTTTAGGGTTTAGGGTTTAGGGTTTAGGGTTTAGGGTTTAGGGTTTAGGGTTTAGGGTTTAGGGTTTAGGGTTTAGGGTTTAGGGTTTAGGGTTTAGGGTTTAGGGTTTAGGGTTTAGGTGGGTTTCTTGGGAAAGCAGGCCGCGACTCTTGCAGCTTGCCAGCCTGCACGAGCTCACCCCTGACAACCGCCTGCAGTTTGGGATGCGACTTGGGTTGGGCAACCTCACCGTCTATTATAACTTACGGCAATGCAACTTCCGACAGCTCTGGGGCCGGGTGCGGGTTTGGGCACTGCACGCTTCAGCTGCAAGGTTTGTTTTTGTAGTCGGGATCAGAGACCCATCGCTCCGCGAGAGGCTTTGACGGGGGCCTGAAGCCCGAAACCCAGAATCTTGCAAACCTCTGCAACTCTGAAAACCGATCACAGCCGGCCCAGACCCACCGGGCTCATGCCCAGCCCAGCCAAAACCATGCCCCGCACACCTCACTACCGCCGCCGGCAGAAAGCGCCGACAGCGCGGCGCCAGGGCCGGGCGACATGGCGACAGCTTGGAAGGGAAGGTGGGGGAAGTGAAGGTTTGGGGCTTTCCGTGTGCAGTTGAGGGTTTGTTGGTGAAAACGGACGTAGACGGCTCGGAGTTCAAGAACCTAAAGGCCAGCTAAAGGCTGTAGACTCCTGGAAAACGAAGACCATGACGAAGAAATCATCAAAGCATAGGCCTAGAATCACTCGCAGCGCTGTCAAGGTTGGAAGAAAAGCTGCGCCCACAACCGTCCAGAAGCGCATGCCCCTGCCCCTCTTGTTGGCCTTTCGTGCTTGCTTCACTTATTGAGGTAAAGCTCTCACCTTACCCTGATTCTTGCTGAGCCTTTTTGAGGCCGCCATTTTGGACAAGCTTCGCACTCTCAGCTGATATCGCCAAGGCCACGCAGAAGCATCCCTGGTTCCGTCATTGCTTGAGGTCCGGAATGTTGGGGTTTTGGGATAGCCACAGAACTGTGGCAGTGCATGGCACTCTCCTCCGGCACCAGGAAGCAGTGCCTCATTGCACAAGTGGCTGTCTACACAAATCCCAGTCAAATCCCGATACAGAACGAACCCTCCTAGGCTGAGCGTAGTGTGGCTTGGTGGTCAGCTGCTGCAGTCAAGCGGCTGCCCTGGACATCTTGGACGTGGACGACTCGACATTCACCTTCCAGCCAGCAAAATCGCAATAAACGTTTTTTTTCCTGAACGATGCATCACTGCACTGGATTGTCTTGGCCGTGCCTGAATCCAAGCGGGTGCATGAACACAGAGCAGTGCAAGTGGTCCCCGTTGGGGGTTTGACGCCATGAGCCTGAGCAAGGTGGCGGAGGCAGGTTGCAAACTTCGTACTAGAGGCGAGGTGCACCAAGAACGGAGGACAAAGGCAAGAATCCACAGCAAAATCTTATCAACCGGGGCTGCACAAAAACCCTGGAGTGCAAGAACCCAGACAAATGCCAGCAATGTTTCAAAAGGATTGTGTCGCTTGGGCATGACTTTCGTCGTGGCCACATGCTGCCAGCGACCTTGCTTACTCCGGCAGGATCATCATGTCAGAAGGGAGCACACCAGAAAGCTGCGCCGCCAGGATGTCTCGGAGCTGATCCTCCAAAGCCTGTGGCAGCAACACGTGTTGCTTTTGTTCACGCGCCTTGAGGTTTTGTTTCGCTCCATGTTGTTTGTTGTTCATCCGTTCGGTCGATGCCTCACACATTTCTGACATCTTTCGACGACGCTCGACGACGCTCGACTCTCAACCACCACGGGAGAAGAAACTTCGATGAACCCCCTTGCACCTCTTGCACCCGGCGGCCAATGAGCTCTGAAGCCGAGAAGCTGCATCCCAAGTCTTTTGTTTTGCCATTCTCGGCGGCAACGCGCCACCCCTCAACATCAGCTTCCTCGCATTCAGGCTTCAGGTCATTCGAGCTGAGGCCAAGGTAAAGGGCAACTGGATCTGGGGGGAGGGTTTGAGTTGCACACAACAATGCTGGCAAACCCGAGAATTCTGAACTACTGCTTACAAAACGCCAAGTCGCAAAACGGCAACGATGTCGCCTGACCGATTTGCAAAGACTGTTCCAGGCGTCTTTGTGTCCATGTCATCACTACTTGCGAAGGGTCTCCACAACATATAGGGTCGTAGTCATCATGGCGCGTAGTAAAACTGGCAACAATCTACCTTTTCTGAGAACATCCGACAACAACTGTAGTGAAAAACTAGACCCCGCTCCAAAGAACCCAAAGCCCTGCAGATCAAGTCACGCGCAGTGGACTGGCTGAGTGTCGGAGTTTGCCAAGCAACCAGCGCCATACGCCCGGCCACTTCGGTGGCCCAACCTGCGTGTCCAACGTGTTGATGCAGATTTGGTTGCCTAACAACATGTTGAAATCATTTTGAAAAGAAGAAAATACCACAAAAGGAAAACATCTCCATGAAGACTAAGGAGGCGTGCTAGCTTAAAATGGAATTCAAGTGGCCTGACAGCAATGCCACTGGTGAGGTTGCATGTTGCACCGCAACGGTGTAAGACTTTCGCAAAAACTGGCACAGCTGATCACGGATGGCATCATTGTCTTGCACAACGGCCGCAACAGAGTCCCAACACAGCGCGGTCATGTCAACGTTCGGTACGTGTAGCCGCATGGTCTTCTTCACATCACACTCATTGTTGCAAGTCTCCGCAGCCAACTTCGGCAGCTGGCGTGGTTGAACTCGCTGCTGCAGAAGTGCCGGCCTCGCATCCAGCGACCCTCCGGGCACGAAGTCCAGCCGCTCACCATTAGGCATGAAGCTAGAAGGATAGTAACCTGGAGCAGGCGCAAGCGAATTTTCGATGTGTTCAACACCTCTTGGCCTTTCGTCTGCAACCCTCGGCTTCCCCGCCTTGCCGAAGGCCTACATGGTCCAACGCTCCTTCTCGCCAGCATCGGAGGTGCAAGGCCTTGTGTGTCCTACAAGCTCCACTTGACTTTACGCCTGTAGAAACCGTACTGCAGCCGGTTTGTTCTTGTCGTGTTTTCAAATCCGATTGCCGCGAAAACCCGCGAAACATCTACCAACCGTACTTGCATGAGACCAAGATGCCTTGAGTGTCGCCTTCGCCTGGGATCTTGGCTTGAACATCATGTGACTGGCACAAAAGGAATGCTGGAGTAATGGTGTAACACCAACTCACACGTGCAAACGTTCCCAACCTCGTCTTGGGTTACCAAAATGTAGGGCGTGTGGCGGCGCCACTCACGGAGTTCCATCTCGAGAACAACTTGGAACCTGGGTTCAATCGAAAAATGCAAAAATTATTCGCAACCAAGTTTTGTTCTTTTGGCCTGAACCACTTCGTTAGATTGTCGCGAACGCAGGCACCCACAGGAATACCAATCATGATCAGCAAAACCGAAAACTTGCTCGTGGTGTCATATAACATTGGACGACGGACAAAAACAAACACGCAATTGCTATTGTTACTTTCGGTTCCTTTCATGTCTTTCTTGGCCTGTTTTGCAACACGGATGCTCTGCGCAGGGGCAGCTTGGTCACCCCACGAGTAAAGGCTTGCTTGAGGCAACACCGGCTGAAGTCGTACCACCGATTTTGCTACCTTGATACCGTGTTCTTTCTGCCATTTGGTTGGTGGTTCGCATGACAAAGTTTCTATTACTTCCTTCCGGCACTTACAATTTTACGTCTTCCACAATTGTCAAAGCCTCGCAGGGGCGGAGCCCAAAAAGCGACTGGCGAGCAGGGCTCCTCGGCAAAGTCGGCAACAAAATCGCTGTTGCCCAGCAACGCTGTGCAAGGAGAGCACGACACCGTCAGCGTCAGCTACCGGGTCTCCTACAGAAGGCTTTTTGCTTTGCGCACCTTTTTCCAAGTCCAGCGCCAGTCCAGCGCGGTCTCAGCCCTACTTCCATGGACGTTGCCAGTATTCGCAAGAGGGAAAGCACGGAGGCTGGCGCAGAAGGCAGGCATAGCTGCAAACGTGATGAGGGCAGACCAGCGGAGCACGTGTGCGGGGCTGATCAGCAAAGCTCTGGGTATGTCCGCTCCTTGGCCTGGCGAGCCAAGCGCAACACGGCGCCAGGCGCGTGACGGGGGGCAACGGTGGCCGTCAGTGGGGAGACAAGAATGGTGTCAATGACCTCGATGCGGCGCTCATCTTGGCGCTCACGCACACGGACATTGGTTGCGACCGTGACTGTCGCGACATGTCTCGGGTGGGCCCGCGACTGTCGGAGGACGCAAAGCGGGGGCACGCCGTAATGTGGTCGCCCAGGGCATCATTAGCAACGGCACCGACAGAGGAAAAACATCCGAAAGAGGGGGGGGAATCGAGCGTCAATTCCGGGGAAGTGGGGCGCGCCGTGAGTGCCCTGGCAGCTATGGGCCGGCCTGTGACTCACGCAAGGCGATGGAGGAAGGGTCGAGCTCACACAGGAGCGCGCGGTGGCAGAAGTCATCGACGGCCCGGGCTGCCAGGTGCTGCCATCCACGAGTGAGGTCGAGCTAAGGTTCGTCCTTTGCGGTTGCGGGAGGGCCGGCTTCCAGGAGCTGGCGCCAGGCCGGGCTCGAAACCAACTGCGGCTCGCCTCTGAGATCGGGGGCGTTGGAGCGAGGAGTGCCAACAGTTCCTGGCTCTGTGTGGTGCAGCGCGCCCCATCCCCTCTGCGAGCGGGCTGGCGCGCTGCTGGTGGAGCGTGTTGTCCATCACCCAGCAGCAGGCTGTCGCCAGCTCACCGCGGGGCGTTTGATCAATGACGCTGCTCCGAGGTGCACCGTACCTGGGGTGATGTGCTGAACGGCGCGAGCGCCCCCAGTCGGCGGAAGGGTTCTTGCTTGGACTGTCGGCGGACGCTGCGGTCGAGCAGCCCCTGCCCGTCACGCGCTACTGGGTCATGGGCTGATGCGATTCGTCCCATCCTTCGCGGGGACCGCGACTTCGCTACCACTTTTGTTGCATTTTGTTGCGGCTCTGCAATCTGGCGATTCAGTGCCTGCTTCCCTTGAGCCTCCCAACAAGGTTTTCCTCGGCCTTTGCCGACTGCAAGAAAATGCCACCTTTTTTCCCGGACCTGTTTTTTTTTCTTCCGCGCCTTTTTGCAACTGCAGACGGTCAGAGGGTCGACCCTACAGGAGGCGCTCACCCCGGGGCTGCCTAGTGCTGGGGCAGCAGCAGGCGGCTGGGTTGCGGGGGTGCCAGCCAGCGTGTTTTTTCCACGCACCTTTTTCCGCCGAAGCCGCCGTCTCAAACACCTACTGGCCGGCAGCCCCGGATGGGTGTGTCCCCGGAGGCGCGGCAGCGCCGTCAGCGCAGCGGCAGGCGGTTGGGGCCCGCCGCTTCCGCGAGGTGCAGGACCTGGTCCAAGTCGGGACCATCCCGCTGGCTGGGGCGGGGCACAGGCCAGAAACAGCCAAGGCCGTGCTACTGATCGCTGTCCTCCTCGGTTTGCTGTTTCGCCGAGCGCCGGGCGCGATAGTCGCCTTGCCAAACGTTGCCACGTGCAGCTGGGAGGCCCTCCTTCGCGAGCTGTCGATCAACCCGCACACAGGACCCACTCCGGCGCAAGGTGTTACAGTACTTGTTGCAAACAGGCACCAGTCAGCCCTGACAGCCCATGCGGACCAGACCGGGAACGGAGGATGCAAAGTCAAGGTTGGAGCAACCGGCGTTCTCGAAAGTGGGGATTTTTGTGTGAAGTTCCAGAACGGCATGACACTGCCAGCCAGGCCCTCCAAGGCCCAGCTCACCGTCAGCCGCCGTGCGGCGCCTTGAACGCGTGCGACCTGGTCCGGTCGATTCGTCCAGCGCGCCCTAGTGACACCGGCGCAGCTGCTAAGTGGCCGAAGCCTCCAAGGATCGGCAGTGGACCGCTACCTGTCGAGCGAGTCGCCCTCGCCGAGGCCTGGTCGCCGAGCATTTGTATCCACACGGAAATCTTGCCACCAGCATGTATGAGCACGATCAAAAAGCTCGCGCGCGAACGTGCGCGCGGGAAACGAGCCGGCAAAAAATAGCCCCTGTGGGGATGCCCTGCACGGCCACACGAACAAGGCATGGAACGGCCAGAGGGACGTGGGCGCTCGACGCGTGCGACAGCATGTGTGCGTAGTCCCGATCAATGCAACGCAACGGCAGTGCAAACAAGCGAAGGCATGAGGCTCACAGCAAGTGCTATCCCCTTCTCTTGGAACCAGAAGCATGGTTTTTGTTTGTTTTTTTCTCCCACGGCTGCGTCCGCCGCAGTCAGGGTCGGGTCGGTCGAGTCCGCGGGTTCCCTTCGAGGGACCTAGGCCCGGCTGGGCAGACGGCTTGGTGCCGGGACCTCGCTCTCGCTCCAGCGGGCGTCAGCCAGGAGCTCGTGCAAGGCTGGGGGTGTGCCAGCAGCACAGGGCTCAGACGGGACGGGGAGCTCGAGGAAGGTAGCCGCAAGCGCGCTCTGCGCAGCGACGGAAATGATGCCACTCCACCGGAGGACCCAAGCAGCCTGGGCAGAAGCCCTCAGCGCGGCGGGGGTGCCGGCCGCCCGCGCACGAGCAAGGAGGCGCACGAAGGTGGCAGCTTCAGAGGCCCAGCTCCCCCCGACTTCAAGCCCGAAAACGACGAGCCGACACCGCCGACTGCGGTCAAGTTCGGGATAAGTTTGCCGCCGCTTGCGGCGCGCAGCGGTGCGCAAGGCACTGCCAGGTTGGGTGGCAGCCCCGGCTTGCGGCAGCCCCTCGCGCGTCACAGGGCTGACGAGGGTCGCATCGACCGCGAGCTGCGCGCCGTGCCATAAGTTGAGGCTGTTGCACACGACTTCGATGCGCCGTGCGTCGTGGACAGGCACGTCGAGGTTCATGGCCGACAAGGCGACGTTGCGCCCGACACGCGCGCCGGCCTCCTGGCAAACCCGGGCTACAGCGCGTTCAAGGGGCAGTGCGCGGGATGCAATGCAAGGACGCCAGAGTTGGAGCAGGCGGCGCGGTGATCTCCATACTCGTCAAGGAAGCCCCGGCAGGAGCAGGCGCGCGGACCGAGGGGAAGGGGCAGACGGAGTCGCCGCAAGAGCAGGACGCGGAAGTGCGGGTCAGGCACGGCTACGACGTCCGACGTGGGCAAAACTGTGAAGACTCTCGCAGCGTGCGGTCCAGCTTGTGACAGCAGCAGCGCTCGGGACGCAGGTGAAAAATCAGCAAGGTGCGTCTCAAGCGCGCGCTCATCGCAAGCATGGGCGGCCCCCCGCTGCCAGCCCCGGAGGGTCCCGGCTGGTTCGTCGTTGCGGGAAGACGGACCAGGCGGGGCAAAGTGACGGGGAGGCTGTCCATCCAGGAGGTCCAGTACGCAGCATGGCGGTCCGCCGTGGCCTCTCGCAGGCCCAAGCCACCAAAGCGTAGTGGCAAGTGTGCCGCTCGCTCCGACTGGGGGGGCAGCGGTGCGTCCGCATGGCCCAGGAACGTGGCGAGGCAGCGAGTCACAGCGGAGTCGTGAGAGGCAGCATACTCGGCCGTCGCGGCGGGCGGCAGAGCGCGAAGGAGGTAGTTGGCCCGCGGGGCGGCGCAGTAGCGCAGCAGCAGCCAGGCAGCCTGCAAGTCCTTCACGAGCGGGACTCGTTGGAGCAGGCGATCGTGCACGCGGTCGTAGGCACCACTGGCGTCCACAGACAAGATGGTTGCACGCGGGTCGACCTCCGTGGCAGCCCGCAGGACACGCGGAAGGGCCTCACTGCCGGCTCACGTGCTTAGCCCGTATTGGTGGGGGATGCAGGCGCGCTCAAGGTACGGGGCGAAGGCCTGCGCGAGGGTTCTCCCGACCAAACGGCGAAGGACATCTCCGACAACGAGCGCGCGAATGCCCCGTCCATCCGGCTTTTGTAAAGCGACAATTCTGCCAACCCGAATGGCCGCCAGGGCTGCGTCCGGCACATCGGCCTGCGCCAAACGTTGCGCGGCGCAGTGGAGTAGTTGGCTATCGACCTCGTCATCCAGCAGGATGCGGAGGTGCTCAGCAGTGGCGCCGGAGGGTCCCGCAGCAGCCCCACGCCTTGCAGTTCGCAGGCAAGCAAGGAACGCTGGCAAAGAAAGGGGGCACGGCTCATGCGGGGCAAAGTTAGCAATCTCGGACGGCATGGGGTCATACGGCTCGGGCGGACGGCGATGAGGATCCCGGAGTTCTGCGAGGGTGGCGTCGGTGGCGGGCGCAAGCGGCTCAGCAACCAGGGCGCGGCCCGCAGCGGAGAGCTCGCCGAGATGGACCAGAGCCGCAGCGCGTGCCGCCCGAGCTTCGGGATCAGGAGCAACATTTCGGGCCGCCTCTTGCGGACAAGCGGCCGTGCGCGAGGCAGCCTGGAGGAGGGCGGGCCACTCGCCACGTGCGAAAGCTTCGCAGCGCCGTGCAAGCTCGCCCGGCGCAACGCGCGTCGCACCGGCTGTGCGATGTAAGAGCATGCGCGGGGCAAGAAGGAAGAGTTTCCAGCCCCGGAGCTCCAGTTGAGGCGACGTGCGTTCCGATATCAATTCCAGGCCTGCACGCATGGCCGTGCGGAGGGCGCCTCGCAAGCGGGTAGGGACACCCTGGAGCGTGAGGACGCGGCTCCTGAGGGTCGCCTCGAGGTCGATGCCGTCCAGAGAGGCGAGGCCAACACGCAAACCCTCCTCCGCCGCAGCGACACGGCGCAACGCGGCGGTGCCGCTCGGGATCGCGTCAGCAGGCGCATCGGCGGCACATGGCTCAGACGCACGCTCAACCTCAGCATCTGCCCCGCGCCCGCCATGTCGGAAGGCGAGGTGTGCGCGCCACAACCGCATCGGGCAGGGGGTCGGCCTGCTGCTGCGCGAGGGCTGCAGGACATGTGAGGATGGCGTAGTCGTGCTCTGCGGCAAAAGCTGCAGTCTGTGCCGGCGGCACTATCCCAAGAAGGTAAGTGGCCCGGAGACATGCGCAGAACAGGAGCAGCAGCCACGCGACCTGGAGGTCGGGGAGTGTGGGGAGCACTTGGAGGAGAGCACGTTGCTGGGCAAGGGTAATGTTGAGATACCCAGCGACGTACTCGTCGGATCCATACGCCCCGAGCACACGCAGGCCTCGGTCGGCAGCTGGGCGGTCGCTGGCCCCAACCCACACAGAGGCGAGGTTTGGCTCAGCTGGCAACCCGGCAGGCACTGTGCCACGCTTCCACACACGGGTTTTGCCGGCATTGAGCTGGACGTGCGCGCGTGTGAAGATGTGTGCTCGAGTCTGGAGTACAGAGCCGCAACTCTGTCATAGAACAACCGCACAACAGCAGGGATGCGATTAGCGTCGGATGCGTTGGGGACCCGACACAAACAGGACAGCATGGCATGCACCGACGCCGTCGACCGACAATACCAGTGCTTGCTTTCTTTGAGCCCCGGTCGCGTGTTGCTCGGTTGAATGGGTTTTGGATTTGTTGATTTTGTTTAACTCCGAATCGAACTGACCTTGTCGGCCCAAGTCGCATGCCATGGCTAAGATAGGCGTGAAGTTGGTCGAGCTTTTCAGGGACGACGGCGAATGATGACAAGTTGGCGACGTATGTGGCCGCAAGGGATGTGCGCACCGGGGAAGTTTTTGCTTCATTCGCCACGTCCATGCAGGAAGTCGACGAAGCGCTGATGCTGCCTGCGACGGCAGGGCTCAAAATGCCGGATGGTGTCGTGTTGAATTTGGAGGAGCTTCAAGTGCCAGCAGTCAGAGCCAAGCTCCGCTTTGGGCGGCGTCGCGGTTCGAAGTGTGTGGTTGCGCAAGCGATGCCGGCTCCGGCCCTGGTGGGTGTGTTGACGCCGTTGTCTACTTGCAAGTCCACCAAAGACCTCCCGGCAGGAGATTGGCAGGCGCAAGTGATCAACTATGAGACTGTTAAAGATTGATGGGCAGTTCCGCAACTTCCCGCAGGAGCTCTTGCGTGCCACGGAGGCCATCCTCGCGCGCATCGTCAACGAGATGAAGTCACAGTCGCACACATCCGTGGTGCTGCTCGAGTTCGTGCAGCATGGCTTTTCTCAGCCGAGGCGGAGACCCCAATCCACTTTGCCCAGCTAAGAAGCACCCGCAAGCCTTTACCACCGTCCTGATGATCAACCTGGATTTCCAGCTGCAAACCAGCTCCTCATGCACCATGGGGGGCCCGAAATCGATAAAGTTGCTTGTAGGCCATTCGTTACGCGTTCGTCCTGGTCGAGCTTGGGCCCGAACCTGCCGTCCACCACTACGTGGACTGGTGGGAGACCGCCAGTGCGAACGAGGCAAAACCGCCTCGAGCAACTGAAGATCTGTTGGGACATATTGAGCTTGGCGCGTCGCCATGGCCCTTCGCAACAAACTTGTTTTTGGCACCGTTGCGAACACTACAGGACGCAATGGGCCGCGAAGTCGTGAACGACAAGATTGCGAAGCCGCCCAAGCACGAGAACTTCCGCCCCGACTATATGCAGGGAGGCAAAGGCAAAGGGAAGAACTGGTAGAAAGATCGACGCCGAGCGCGGGATGACAGCAATGACGAGCGGACAAGCCTCAGAGGATTCGAGGTACTCCGATCTGCAGGACGACAAGTACCAGCGTGCCAGCAGTGCCCAAGCAGACGGGCCGCCTAGGTGGACCGGACCAGAGCAGAATAGAAGCCTTCCCCATGAAGTAGCTTTGTCGCGAACCTGGTCAAGCTCCTGCTTCTCGAAAAGCGACTGTACCGACACGTACAGTTTGCGCGTTCAAGCCCCACTACCTCGCCCAAGTAGACATTGCAATCCCCTGCCAAGAGCAATTGACACCGAGGGTAAGGCTGCAAGACTTCTTGGATGGAAATGCGAAGATCGTTCCAGAATGCGACACGGTGAGAGCTTGACATACCTACGTGCACGGCATCCAAGCTTCAAACAATATGGGGGGGGGGGGTTGCGATCCACGGCAAGCGCAAAACACCTTCATCGAAATCTAGCCGAGGCACTACGGATCGAGTCCAGCCATGAATGTGAGGTCTTTTTAACACTTTTTAACAAGGAAAACCGGCCTCACAGCCATCTGTGTCCTGCGGTCCGTCATAAGCACACCGGCTGGTAAATCTGCAACACGGCGCCACGGCGCCAAGTGGAGACCGCGTTTAATGAACACGCACAAGATCAGCATCCCGAATTTGCAACAGACCCACCAGTCCGTGAAATGCATGGCGCAGTTTACGAGCGGCAAACTCACGTGGGATGGCTCCCGCCGTGTTGGCGGTGACGACGAGAGCGATCGGGATTTCTCTTCTGGCCACCTGCGCTCGCAAATGCATGGAAACCTGCCACGGAGCTACGGATGTGAGCCGGCAGTTGATTGACATTCCTCAGAAATGCCAGAACACATTTCCGAAAGTACCGCCGCAAGGGCGTCCTGGTCCGCCATTGCGGATTGCAGGGACGAACTAAAGGAGTTTCCAAGCGCAGGCGTCCGGATCACAATGAAAGGCTCGAACGTGTTTTTCTCTGCACACCCTTTTGCTACCAGTCAACGCGGTCCCAATGCATCTTTGACCGAGAAAGGGTCAAGAACAAACCAAAGCGGCGCTCGCTGATGCCGGCTTTCTTGTCTGTTGCCCTTGCGCCGGCCGGGCCCTTACCAAAGGAGCTGGAGCCGGGAGAACATGCCTTGGCCTGCCGGAACGACACCTGCATCGCGGCCGGGCCAGCTAGCCCTTCGAGCGCATTGCGCGCCTCGACTTGCGAGGAAACAACAAAACCACATGCACGTTCACGCGCACCTGCGGCTAAACTCTTCCAAGATCACCACGTGGAATGCCGCCGGCATCCATCCTCCAGGCTCCGCAGTTTGGTTTCGCGATCAATTTGCTCTGCTGGGACGAGCTTAATTGGGGGAACCCCAGCTTCGTGAATTCATCCGTGGCTTTGTGCCGACCTTCAACTTGAAACAGCGAACCCCGCCGGTGTTTCGACACATCGTTCTGGCTCCAGCACTGACCCTGTGCTGGTCTCATGTGGATTTGCGTCCATGATGGCAGCTCGGTTGTCCGGTGCTCGGTAGCGATCACAAACTCACCACTGTTGCCATTTCGCCTGCTGCAGTTGAAGATGTTTCGCGGTGTTGGCCAGGAGTGCATGGCTGGCGGCAGGCTGCGCAGCTTCCGAGCCCCATTCCCCTCTGTCACCGGCTGCCAGCATCAACTGATCTCAACCGGCGCATGTGGATGGCCTGGCCTGGTGCAAGCATGTGGGCTTGCTTGAGTCACAAGTGCGCACGGTGAACTGACGGCAGGATGCGGCAGGGACAGCAACAACGCGTCGAAGAAATAGCGTTTTCGCGTTCGCGACACGACAGCTGCGAGCAAAGCCCACCCTTTGCAATCCGCGTGACCGATCGCAGAAGCCGGCTCAATATGAATTTCCTGCCGCAAGCGGATGCAACATGATACAAGCTGGACGGGCTGACGGCAAAGTTTTTCGGTGCCTTCCACGGTGGTGGAATATTTGCTGCAATCACACCAAAGCTCGCAACCGTAACCATAGCAAAAGCAAGTTCGAAACCCAGGACCACTGTGACGGGACCGCTGTGATTGACCCCTGTGTGGTTTTGACGGTCACAACCAAAACGACAGAGGCAAGGACAAGGACAAAGCAGCGACAGCAAGAACGCGGACAGAAATGCAAAACCACCAACCAAAAACTTTGACACCCGTCCTCAACCCTACATCCAAGCGCTATGCCATGCAAGAAGCACGAACTCTCAAGCCCCACAAGAGCGGTCATCATCTTACTGCCACGGAGCCGTTCCTCAGACACCGAACCCGGCTCTGCTTCTACCTTCCTGGACCAGAAGCTCAGGCTCTGGGGGCTGGTTATTCAGAGGTGTGTTGGTTGCCCGTTTAATTTAAAGTTGGGCTTGAAGTGATTGAAACTTTCTGGTTCACATCACCGTCTGAATCAAAGAGAAGACCGCAAGCATGATTTGGGATTTTACAGAAATGAGGGGCCCCTATAATCGAACCCCAAACAGTAGGATTCCTTTAAAAGAAAGGAGCCCAAAACGGTACCTCTAGTCTCGGAAACCCCATAATGCCGATCTGGGGTCCACGGGTTCCAGGGCCTTTTGGATGCTCCAGCCAGTGGCTCCGGCCAAGCGTACGCCTCCTTCGTTCCCAAAACATCCTGTTATGGCTTAGGGTTTAGGGTTTAGGGTTTAGGGTTTAGGGTTTAGGGTTTAGGGTATCCTACTATTTGCTTAAGAACCTCCAAAAAACACAACGCTTATGAGGAGGACTTATTTTTTGGGGGGGTTCTTAAGCAATCAGTAGCATCAGTGCTGGCTCAAGAACGCAGGCTGGTCATCTAAAGCTAAGAGGGTGTCTATTGCTCAGCAGTGTTGCTCGCAATTGCTGCCCAAAGATCTGCAACTTGGAAGCTGGTGGAGCTCCAAACGCCACGCGTCCCACCAGCTATGCGCGGCCCAGCACGCAAGCGTTTCTGCTGCAAAATCCACGGCAACTTTGGCCATCTGGTGCCATGATAGCCCACAATTGGCTCGCACCAAGCATGTGAATCTTCCATGGGTGGGCCGTCCATGTCTTTCAACTCCACACGCAACCAAGAGCTGCTGGTGTCCCCCCACACACCATTCGGCATTCCACTGACTGTGTGGGTGACGGGCTGCACGCTGTCCCAATCAAACCACAAGTCAAAACCGATATCCCACTCACCAGTAGGGTGACGCTTCATGATTTCGCTTGGTCGCCGATCGAAAGGGTGGCTATGATGAAGCCAAAGAAAATGGAGCAACCCTCGACACTCGTGCACCAGCCTGTCCCGAGTTGTGCTCGGCGCTTGAGCCACCAGTGCGCATGATGAACTTGCCTTCTTGGCCAGTGCTCCTTGCTCTTTTGCCTTGCTTCGTAAAGTTGCCAATCGCAACTTAGCTTTCCTGACCCGCTGACGTATGATTTTCTTCACGCGCAGACGCCGCATGGCCTTCGCTCAGCACACCGACCGTTGGCCATTTCCACATTGCCCCGAACAGAAAGCTGCTGAATACTGGCTAAGACGCTAAGGGTCGCCGGTCAGCAACTCAGCTATCCCAAGTTGCAACATGTTTGTCAAATGTTGCCAAATGTTGTCTAATGTTGTCTAATGTTGTCTAATGTTGTCAACTGTTGTCACACGTTCTTTTGCCCCTGAGTCGTATCCTTCCACGTGCGATGCAACTCATCTGTAACATCAAGGAAAAACAAGGACACCGAATGGTACCGAAGGGCAACCTTGAGTAGTGCTATTTGCCTGGGTCAAGTTGCAAAATTCAACCGTGGCCCAAAACATATACAGACACTCTCGAACCGTGCTCCTGCATTTTCCTCTGCATATTTTTCTGTCTGCCATTGGTGATGGATCCGAAGATCACGAAGTGGCCAGCGGCCCTCTCGCCAGGCATTTCGGCGCCCCAACCCCCCTGCAAAACCACAAGCCACCCCAGTGGCCCTGACATGCTCGGCCCCGTGGGCACCCGGCAATGATCCCCGAAACGAGAAGACAGGCAGAAGTCCAGAGCACAGTTCCGAGCCTTCCGTGCCGAATTTGCAGTCCTTCACTTTGTCGTCAGCACGTCTACCAGTGCCCATTCTGATTGTGAAAGCTTTCTCTTAACTTCGCTCCTCCCGTCGTTCCCTGCGTTCCTTCGATATCGTGTCAATTGAACAAGTGACCGACGTGTCCACGATTCCCTTCGGTGTCGACACGTGTCCACAATCAACCATGGTGCCTACCCACTGCACATTGAATGTGAATTCCGTGGACCGATGGGTCTGTCGACGGAGACAGAACGCGTAGCTAAGTCAAACGAGGGCATGCGGTCGCCCATGGCGGGACGAACCGACAAAAAACTCGGCTTGCACATGATCCTGTCGGAGCTTTCCAAACAGGTGTTCTTCTTACTGCGCATTGGACTACCGACGACCGGTGCCTCGAGCCACTTCCGTTGAGCTGGGCCGAAAACATGGCATGGATGCGACTCTCAAGCTCAGAACGTGCCAGTTTTGTGAGGAGCTCGCGCCGTGTAGGAGAAAAAAAGCTACGTGATAAAATCTAATGAAACCCACACCACTACATGCCACAACCCTACTTCACAGCAAGGCGAGCTTTTTGTTCCACCACTCTCACGCGCCGCGCACCAGTAGCTGCCAGGTGACATCTCAGTCCTGGCGCATGTCAAAGGGTTCGATCTGCGCTTTGAAAGTAACTATGGAGAGCAGAAAACCCACTCACATGACAGAACCACTCGCTGAATCTCAAATCAATGGCCACCTCAGGCCATCAGCTATCAGCGTTGACAACCCTGTCTTTTTCATCTATCCAACAATTCGGAAGTCTTCAACCTATCCTTTCTCAACAGGACCAAGATGCCTCACGTCCGCAAACTCACTACCACAACTGCTCCTCCACCCTAAACAACCGGGCTCGCCTCCTTGACACCATGAGAGGCGACGTAGATACCGTCCAAGAACTTTCGGATATCCTTCTTCTTGCAGAGGCAGGACCTCGCGGTGCTGATTTTGAGGTAAGAGTCGAGGTCGTGTGCTGCTTGCTTGGGGTTGCATGGTCTTATAAAGGATTCGGCCTCTTCGTCAAGCTTTCAGACGCGTTTGAGAGTCTGCCGCCGATTTGCTCAGCGTGGGCGGGCGTTTTGATTGCCACAAGGACGCAGTGGACTGCACAGTCCTCCGCCACTCGCCGTGGCTTGGATTGCAAGTCAAGGTAGCAAAGGATCTTAGGATATAGGGTTTAGGGGAGCAGCACAATGAGGTCGGCAGCCGCCCCCATGGTGGCGTCCTTCCTTCCTCTGTGACTCTGTGGTTTGGGTTGTGGTGGAGTCTTCGGCGTGCGGTGTTTGGCCACGTGGTCTGCTTTCCCTTCTCCTTCTGGGTGCGAGGCTGCTCCCGGACCACTTGAAAGGCAAGGCCAGGGGGGTGTAAGTAGGTAAGGTTTTGATTTGGAAAGTTGCTTTGGAAAGGCTGAAGAAAGGCTTTGGTAAGGAGGTTGATTTGGTACGCTTTGGGTAGGTAGGTGGGCAGGTGTTCAGGGGCTGGGGCAGGGTATACGTCGACCCAGGACCACATAGAGGGCTTGAAGGTGTTGGGTCTGTTTCCCGGGTCCTTTCCCTCGTGTGGGGTGCCTCCCTCCCTCCCTCCCTCTGGTGTGGGGCGTTTAGCCCTGTGGTCTGCTTTCCCGTCTCCTTCCCCGGACAAAACGCCAGCACCCTTTAGGGTTTAGGTCGGATTTAGGGCGTAAGGTTCAGGGTTCGAAGTAGGTACGGCATGGTACGGCAGTAGAATGGCAGTACGGTTCGAGGTTGGTGCAATCGTTGAGGAAAGATTTCGGTCAAGTTTACGCGAAGTGATACGCGTTGGGGTGGGCAACTCAGAACGCAACAGCTGCCGATCTGTATGAAACGGCGTCCGAAGCCAGCCACCCCCAAACTCAACAACGACATGCTAGGCTTCCAAACCCTCAAGGCCCTCGACCCTCCACCCTCAACCCTAAACCCTCAACCCTCAACCCTCAAACCTAAACCCTAAACCCTCAACCCTCAAACCTCAACCCTCAACCCTCAACCCTCAAACCTCAAACCTAAACCCTAAACCCCGAAAGCTTCTCAACCTGCCGCTTCCAAGGCTGCGGCTGGTGGATCAGCGCGGCCGACTGGCCGGTGAGCTCGATGTCCGCACCGCTAACGACCAGCTCATCCTGTGGGACGATTCGGGCTGGCACCCTGGGGTGACCCTAAACCCTAAACCCTAAACCCTAAACCGACGATGATTTTCTGAGAGCTAAAAATCGAATTCCTTTCGGCGAGTTTGCAAACGGCAACTTCTTCTTTCCTTGACCATGGGCCCCCCGGAAGCAGTGATGTTTGGGGACCTAGGTTCCGGCCCACAGACCTTGCAGGAAGCTCAGGACCCTTCAAAGGCACCCTGCAGACGTTGACCCCATATAAGCCGGTAGGAACGAGACGTCCGAGGATGTTGGCTTGTGGCAATGCCTATGGGTTGGTCCTTCTATTTCCGGATGCCCCTTTTCCAGCGGAGCTTCCGTCTTCGCGAAGAGCTTTGCGGTCACACCCATCATTTCGATATGAGATGTCGGATCTGAGCAACAAAACGATGCGTGCCCGTGACCCCGAGGAACCCTCTAGGCGTTTGCAGACCTAAGACCCCCAGAGCCCCCATGATGCTAACCCTAAACCCTAAACCCTAAACCCTAAACCCTAAACCCTAAACCCTAAACCCTAAACCAGAGCACCCGGGGTACCTTGAACCCCGGAGAAACCCGTAAGGGCGGCCCCGCAGTGCGGTACCCTCAATTGGCACGACAAGGGATTCGGGGAGCCATCATAAGAGGTTTAGGGTTTAGGGTTTAGGGTTTAGGGTTTAGGGTTTAGGGTTTAGGGTTTAAGGTTGGGTCCGGAATTAATTTAGGTATTCTTTAAAGGAACAAAAACAAGCAAAACAAAAAAAACACCCAAAAAAAAACAAAAAAAAATACCCAAAAAAAATGTTCTCCCGAAATAGGGTTTAGGGTTTAGGGTTTAGGGTTTAGGGTTTAGGGTTTAGGGTTTAGGGTTTAGGGGGATGTCTATATGTAAGGCAACCAAGAGTGTGAGAGGGGGGAACTTAGGTCTTATGCACTTTAGGTACTCGCGTAAAGTTCCGGGATGTGCAGCATGTGTACGCATGAAGCGTGAAACACACTTAGGATCACTGTCTCGCCGGGGCTGAATAATCGGGCTGCCGGGTCCTAGCTAGCGAAGCTCCTGGACTTGACCATACAAGTATGTTTAGGGTTTAGGGTTTAGGGTTTAGGAATTAGGGTTTAGGGTTTAGGGTTTAGGGTATGGACCGCTCATACTCGTGCACTGTGGTTGTTCAGGGGTGACAGCTTCAAACGATAGCTCGGGCATACGTACATACATTTTTTCTACCCGCAAATAAAAACAAATTTCATGTGTTGGCCCAACCCGAACAATATTAACAGTGTCTCCTTGGTGGAGGCGCTCTTCTCCACTGTCACACCCGGCAGCATGTGCACCTAATTCAGGCTTTAGTGTGCACCGAGTCCTACCCATCGTGCTGTCAACGTCGGCCCGACGCCCTCTTTCATCTTAACGTAGCTTAACCCCTTGGCAGACAAGAAGCCTGGCCAAAAAAGCCCGAAGGATGTGGGCTTATGATGGGACTGGGATGAACTGGATGGTACTGGGCTCAGCACAGTTCGCACCACCTTCTCGCCCAAAAAGTTTCGGATCTCGATGGTCTGCCAGGCAGTATCGAGTTGGCGGCTCTAGCACTCATCTTTGGACCCGTTAAAGCTTGCGTTGGGCCTTGAGCATTTCATGAGCTCCGGCCTGTTTCAGCCATAGGTAGGTAAGTCGCAACAATGAACCTGCTTTGATAAGTTCTATAGATAACCAGGCAGCTACAGCGGCCTGACTGTGCACATCCACAGAAAACACAGACTGAATCCTGGCGATCCATTAAACCACAAGCAACAATCTTCTCAAGAGGGCGTCGGGGTCAGGATTCAAGGTCGCAAGTATCATGCACGTCATACGACACTTCTCCGTAGGCAGGCCGGACTGGCACGGGAAAAGAGAACCCAAGGATTGCAGATCGCAGGTATGCTCGCCTACACAACGCAAACCGCTTTACGTTAAGGACTTGGCATCCAGCAGGGCATATGGGTCGGTCAGAAGAGTGGAACGTTTTTTTTTTTTTTTTTTCAAGTGCAAGGCAAGCGGTGTTTGCCCATCAACCAAAGCAGCATCAGCGAACTTGTCTTGTAGGTTTGGTAATCTGTTGCCAGAGATGTCTATCTTGAGCGACTGGGTTGATTCGTCTGAAGAGCCTAGTGTTGTCCATACCGGGGAGACTGCTCGCGGAATGCATCTGTTTCACCAACTGTTGCGACGGGATACTCCA